GCGAGTGTGCAAATGTGTGTGCGCATGTCTGGGCGTGAGTGTATCTGAGTGTGAGTGAGTGTGTAACGTTGGCAGTGGGTACCTCCAGGCACACACAGGGGTCTGTGCCATTCTTGCAACACTCTGCAAGTTTCAGATTCTTTTTTTCTTTTCTCTCCTTGAGATAGGGTGTTGATATGCAGTTCAGGTTGACCTCAGACTTGCAGGGATCTTCCTGCCTCAGCCTCCCAAGTGCAAGGGTTACAGCTGTGCACCACCATGCCCAGCCCAAATCATTTCCAAATAAGAGGTGAAAGGGAGCCGCACCTCAGAAGCCAGTGATCAGAGCCCCGAGTATGCACCGCACTCTCGACCAGGCTGGGCTGGGCTGGGCCACTCCTGGGGCTGTGGGCAGGAGAAGGCCCCACCAACCCGCACCCCGCACCCCGCACCCCGCACCTGCAGCTGCGTGGCGTAGTGGCCCAGCTTGATCTTCAGCAGGAACCCATCCTCCCCCACCTGGTGCTCCGCCTTCTTCTGCAGCTCCTGCACCAGGCCCTCCAGGAGCTGGGCGGCCTTAATGTTCTCCTGTGGATTATCAAGATCTATTGAGTCCCTAGGGGAAAAAAATTACAGGATATGTCCACGTGCATGCTCAGGGACCTGCACCGCGAGCACCGCGCAACACGTGCCTGCTGCTCGTGCCAGGACGGAGCCCAGGGCCCAATGTGTGAGGTCAGCACTCCGCCTCTAGCCACAGCCCTGGCCCTCAAGTGGCTTCTTCATTTAGTTTTTTATTTACTGATTGGTTGATTGACTGACTGAGACAGGCCTTCACTGTGTAGCCCAGGCTGGCCTCAAACTCGCAGAGATCCTCCTGTTTCAGCCTCCTGAGTGCTGGGATCTCAGGTGTGTGCCATGGTGCCCGGCTACTGCAGATTTCTGACGCAGAGCAGCTCAGCTGGTGGAAGCTGTGGTCATTCTTCCTTCCCTCTCTTTCTTTCCTTTCTCTCCCTTCAGACACCGTGGGCCACAGCGGAGAGCTGGCAGCACTGGATTCCTGGCACGTGAAGGCACCAACAACTGCCAGGCTGAAATATCCATCACCACGAGCACCAGGCCGGAGGAGACAGCGGTGCAGCTGCAGGCTCTGCTCCCAGCCTCGAGGTCAGTCACAGCTCACTTGGAACTGTGAGCCAGAACACCAGGGCCGGACGTCTCGAGAAGACACTCAAATCTTGCAGGGCTGGTGGCGCACGCCTACCAGCCCAGCACTGGGAAGGCTGAGGCAGGAGGATTGCTGCAAGTCTGAGGCCGGCCTGGGCTACACAGTGTGACCCTGTCTCAAACAAACAAACAAACAAACAAAGAAATACAGCCTTGTAGAGCCTGCATCAATGTGCAGGACTGAAGTCCTTTCACTAAAACCTTTCTTCAGAAAATCAAAGCTACATCATAATATTCAGGTTTTCCTTAAAATCAGCATAAATAAGTCTTCCTCGAACTCACTCAGTAGCAAGGCTACCAGGGAAATCTACTACTTGAAAGTTTGTATTTTTTGACAGGGTGGCTTTGGAGCTCAGGCTGGCCTCAAGCGCACAGACTTCTAGACTCAGCCTCCTGAGTGCTGGGAAGCCAGGTGTGTGCCACCGCACCCACCCAGTGTCTCATTTTTAAGATCCGGTCTCACTATGTAGCCCAGACTGATCCGAGTGACCCTCCTTGCCTCAGCCTCCCGAGCAGCTAAGACTCGGGGGTGTGCAGCTAAATGAAAACAAATTTTTAAACTCGTGCTGGGGGGCCAGGCGCAGTGGTACACGCCTATAATCCCAGCCTGAGGAAGCTGAGGCAGATGGATTGCGCGTTCGAGGCCAACTGGGTTACAGACTGAGACCCTGTTTCCATTTTTTTTTTTTTTTTTGTATC